ACCAATGATTTCATCTTTTACATCTGTAAAAACTGATCAATTATATAAAACAACATTACATAGATTTAAATTATCATCTCGAGCTGATCTTGAATTATTAAAAAAGAAAGATATGAATACATATATTTATACAGATATGGCAGGTGATTTTATTGCACAATATAGTAATGGTCTCTTTTTACAGATGAATATTACAAAAGGGTTAAGTGAATTCAGAGAAAAATATTTAAGTATTGTTATTGATTTAACTTTACAAAGAGAAGAACTACAATGGTGTAAAGCTTATCTCATAGGATTATTAATTCTTTGTGAAACAAGGAATTCATTATCTGGACTTAATGTTTACACTGTTCAATCAACTACAACAAGTTGTTCTATTTTTCAATTAAATAATCAATATTTTAATAATCCAACACATGATGATTTTAAAAGTGCTATTAATTTCATTGAAGAATTAACTCCTTCAGAAACTAAATCAATTACTGATGTTGTGATTACTCAATTTATTCCATTTGACTTAACTACTGATGTAGTATTTGCTACTCAATCAAGAACAACAACACTTTATATGAGTAAAAAATTTAAAACACATTATATCTTTTGTGGAGAATTATTAAATTTATATTCAGCATGGTGTCTTAATACATGTAATAGATATTTTGATCTTGTAGGTCCAAATAGATTAAGTGATTTAGAAAGAGGAATTTGGGGATTATATTCTGCTATTGTAGCACGTAAATTATCATTAACTAAAATGGAAATTGAATATGAAAATATGGAAGAAACATTAGATATTCTTGATTTAGGATCAAGTCAATCAACACCAAGTTTTACATATATTGATGGAGGTGTTGTTAAATTATTTTTCCCAATGAATAAAAAGATTAAAGCACCAATTAAAGTTCATTCATTATTTAGAAATGAAGAATTTGGTACAGAAGAAGTCGAAGATAAAATTATTGATATGGAAATGGAATTTAATGAAGATCAATCTTTTATTTCAGAATATAACCAATTACATGCAATGGGATCAAAAGAATTATTGGTTATGGCAACAGAACATCGAGTAGCATCAACGTATTCTGTTCTTGATTCATCACCAACAGTATGTTGTTATTTTAGTTATTCACAAAGTAAACCATTATCTGATAAAATACCTACTGCTGAATTACAATTAATATCAAGTAGAACCCCGATAGATAATCCAAAACCAGAACAAGGAGATTATGAACCAGATGATAAAATTAAACATTTTATTACTTCAACATTAAATAAATTAAGTGAAATGACATTTGCAGGAGTTGTTACTGATTTATTGACAATTGATTATTCTAATTCATGTGTAATTATATATCTTGCAAAAACGATTGTAAATAAAGCATCACGTGATTTAAAATATATCCCATTTTATGCTGATTTATGTGTTTCATTATCAATATTCATTTCTTCAAACTTTACACAAACATTATTAAATTTACTAAATATTGAATTTAATGTAAGAAACACATCAGAATCATATTTACTTTCAAAATCAAATTCATTATCTCCTGAAGTTATTCAACGTATTCTTTCTCAATCACATATTCGTTTTTCAGCCATTATTCGATTTATAGGACACTTAAACCTTAGAGGATTTTTACCTTCTTTCTTTATGATAACTGTTATTAGAGAATTACTTAAAGATTGTACAGATCAATCATTTGAATATTTAAATCTTTTACTTCGAATTATCGGTGAAGTTTGGGATTCTTCAAATGATATTTCATTTATGATGGACGAAGCATTTGAAACGATTGAATATACATTAAGTCATCCACAAGGTATTTGTAATAGAACAAAATTCATGTTAATGGTTTGTCTTTATTTTTAAGATAACTTAATAAATAACATAAAACTAATTCTCTACATAGGACTTAATAGATCTTAGAGAAATGAATTGGGCTAAACAAAATAAGAAACCTCCTTCATTGGCTAAGCCAGGAGAATCATTTGATCCTTCAATGCAAACTATAGATGAAGAAGCCCGACTTAATGAAACTGAAGGTTCTTTTATTGATGACGCTTAAATTGTTTGTGATAAGAAATAACTTTTCTCCACCCAATTCCATATTTCATTTTTTTTAGTAATTCATAAATTACTTTAATTAAATAATAAATTGCTTCATTGAAAGTATCAAAAAATAATAATAAATTAAGTGTAATGTCAATTAATTCGTTGGTTAAAAATAATTATTTATGATTAAACAAGTCATTTTTTTTACATCATGTTTATACTCATAAACTTTATTAAACTGAATTCATGAAAAAAATTACTACAAGATTAAAACAAACATAAAAAGATTATAACCCCTATTGTTAAATTAAAATAATTAGTAGTAAAAATAAACTCATACCTCTTCGTTGTTGTAATTAGTGTTTAACTTTTTGAGGAGTTGGCAATTAGATCGTTTCATTGGGAATTATGTCATTAAACAAACGTTATTGTCTAATAAAAAAACTTAACTAACTCGTTTGTTACTAACAAAAGTTAAAAATAATGTTATATGAAGTAGTGACTCATAGAAATAATTATCATTTAAAAGAACATTCAAATATTTTTTTTCTTTTTTAGTATTTAAATATATTCAAATATTATATTATGTTAATGACTCTTGGATTAAACTATTATATGAATAAATAAGTGTCATTAAAAAAATCACATAAATTAATATACCAACTAAACGGAGAAATCCATTTCTATTTCGTCCTTTGAAAATACAAAATCTACATTATCATCTATTTCTAATATCCCATCACCCTCACTATCTTGTTGAAATAAACGAGGGTGGTGGTGATCAACATTCCGATTATCATCTTCAGTACATGGAGTAATTTCTTCAATAATATCAAGTATTCCATTTCCTCCTCGTGACTCTTTTTTAACAACCATCTTAAAACTAAATTAAACTGGAGAATCAAAGATGAGTTTAAGTTTTTCAGTAATTAAAATAATGACGTTATATTCAAAAGAAAAGACAAAAGAATGATAAAAAAAAAAAAGAAAATGGTAAATAACTAAAAAAAAATAAATAAAGTAAATAATTAATTGTGGGAAAGCTGTTCAAATACAGGAAGTCTGTTTGAGTCTTCATCAGTAGAAGAAATATCTGAAAAATTTTGGGTTTGAGGAATATCTACACAATCAGATACAGGAGAAGGTTCTCCTGGTAATACATGAATAAATCGACATCTACTTCCATATTTACAAGTCCCTGTCTGATGAAATGTTTGACAAATCTCAGTTTTATAACGAGGGTGTCGTTGTACTGGTCTTAACTCTTTCTCACCATGAGCAAATTGACATTTATTTCCATACCTACACGTTCCTGTTTCAACAAATGAACGACAAAGTTCTGTTTTATATAATGAAGTATTAATAATACCATTTGTATTAGGACCTCCTTCACAAGTTGTAGAAGTAGATAATGTTGATCTTCGTGGTGAATGAGAAAGACCAGGGGTAGAAGGGGCACTTGTTGTTGAAAGTGATTGAAAGAGTTGGTCCCTTCTTGAAAGGATTGGAGAAGCATTAACACTTCTTGAAGGTCTATATGGTTCAGCATATGGAGAAAATGTAAATCCTAAAGATGTAAAAGAACCACAAGGAGACTCTTGTTTTGATTCGGTTAGAGTAGATTGGTAAAGTCCTGAACGGTGGTCTTCCTTTGATTTCTTCATGAATTGAAATATTTGAATATGTTTAACTTCTTTTCATTTTTATAATTTTTTCTTACCATTATTTTCCCGTTTTTTTCCGTTTTTTTAATCCTCCTATTTTTTATCATTTTTTATTTTTAGAGAATTTTCTGAACTTTATATATTTTTGATAAGCTGTTTTTTATAAAAATTCTTTTATTTTTCGGTTGTTTTAGGTTTTCTATATTTAAACTAAATAGAATCTATTATTCATTTTTTTAATGGAAAAAATCGGGATATTTCTTTTAAAATAAATTAAAAGAAGAAAAAGAGGGGTTCATTCATATCAAACGATAAAGAAATTCTTCTATTTTTATTTTAATGATGCAAACACGTATTTTCCAATAAAAATATTTAAAATAAAATTATTAAAAAATAAAATGGTTGCATCTTTATTAGTCATCTAGACATAAGGCTCCTTCTTGTTTCCATGTATCTAGAGTTATTACTTTTCCAATATTTTCTTTGTCAAGAAGATTTGCCCCAAGCCAAGAAGCAAATTTTCTATTATCTTCAGCAATTACATTTATTTTGAAATTTAAGAGTTGTTGGATATCAGTTTCAATACGTTCTTTTAATCCTTTTATTAAACTTCCTCCTCCAACGAATATAATTTCATTAGTACATCCGTTTATACTTCTTAACACAGTTGCGATCATCTGACTTATTCCATTACAATTCATAGCACATAGTTGTGGATTAAACATTGGTTCAAAGCATTGAACTCTTGAGTTTCCAATTGTTAATGAAGTTCCATCTGGAAGAGAATAATTGACAGATGGTATTGAAGAATTAGGATCAACTTGAATATATCCAATAGCTTCTTTAATTTGTCTTGCTATTTCTTTTTCACTAGAAGTACTTCCAAGAATAATGCCTTCTTTAGAAAGTAAAGTCATTAATGTTTCAGTACATTTAACTCCTGCAATTGGTAATTTTTGTGAAATGTCCTTATAAACAATTCCATTAATTACTGGAATTACCCATGACATCATTCCTCCAATATTTACAATAATACAACTTTGTTTATTATATAATCTAGAAATGGCCTGTGCTTCATCAACAAATCTTATTGATTGAATTCCTTCATTAAATAACATTTCAGAGATATTTATCTTCATTTGTAATGGAGTTAACCCATTTGTTACAACAACAGTAGGATGCCCTTGTGCAACTTCCACTGAGTGTTTCATAATTGATCGTAAACTATTATAATCAATAGGTTCTTTTTGCATTGGATATTCTAATGATAATATACCTCTTTTGTCAATGGCTTCATCTCCAACATATAAATCTTGTTCAACAAATCCACTTGTTTGATGTAAATTTTTTCCAACAACAGTTGGTGTTAATATTGATGGATTTCCAACACTTTCAAATCCAGATTTAATGGAACAACTTCCAATATCTATAATAAAATGTTCCCCTGGTTTTCCTTGAACTGGAATAAATGAATTTTTTATTTGTGGTTGAATATATTGTTGAACTGTTGGAAATTGTTGTTGAACGTTTCTTTCTTGAATACTAAAATTAAATACAGATTGAACTAAAGTGGTATTATGATAAACTGCAATAGCATAATTACCTTTAATAGGAGGAACATAACTTACATCATACTGTCCATTTCCTAGATCAGTAATGTCCCCAATGATTTTAACATCATTTGGACCAGCAATGTAAGCTGCAAAAGGTTCTCCTCCATGATTAATTGTTTGACCATATGAATCCTTAGCAAAAATTGTGAAACTTTGTTTCTCATTTACATAACCTCCTTTAATTCCATTACCTTCAATTATGCATTTGTTTAAGTCTAATGAACTAGCTTCTAAGATATGTAATTTCCCTATTTGTTCAACTTGTTTATCATTTACATAAACAGCAATAAGATAATTACCAGCATATGGTGGTGTAAATACAATATCATAAGTACCATCATGAAGGTCAGTTACTTCTCCAATAATTTTAGTATTATTTGGACCAGAAATATATGCTTCAACTTTATCACCACCTTTTTTTATTTTACCAATAATATTCTTAGTTAATACACCAAAAGTATATTTATTATTTTGTTTTCCATCTAGTAGCCTTGATAACTCACATTTACTTGCATCAGCAGGTAACATTTCATTAGGATTTTCTTCTGGAAGTTTACTTTCTTCTGTTGCGAGATTATTTTCTTTAGCAATATTATCAAGATAATAATTAACAACATCAGAATCAACGGGTTTAGAAGAAAGTCTTGATAGTAATTTTGGACTAATCACTTTACTGTTAACACATTCTTCTGGGAATGTCTTACCAAACTTATCAATTAACATATTTCTCATTTCCATCATTTCAGTATGATCTGGAAAATATGGAGAAGCATATAAAATAGCACCACACGCTGATTTTAATTCTAAAGGACATATCCTTTGTGTACCAATAATTTCTGAGTTTTTCATTAATTCATCAATGGTATCAATTAACTCCGTTAGTGCTTCATTTTTGTAGTCTTCTTGAACTAATAATGTACACTTATCAAAGGCTTTATCTCGTTCATTGTTTTGGAGTAATTCTATTATTTGTTTTTTAAAGGTTTTAGAGTGGGTCTGGTATTTCTTTTGTTGTGCACTAATTCTTCGGAGAGCACATTGACACCTAATCATAAATTCATTACCATTAAACTGTTTTTTAAAGAAGTTCATTATCTTGAAATGTTATTTTATAGATTAAATACCTTTTCTTTTATAAAAAATTTCCTCAAAATATTGTTGAGATTAAATAATTTTTAAACAATCTCTTTTTTTTTCTGTTTTTCATTCGTCATTCATGTTTTATATCTCTTTTCCTTTTTTTATTCTCTGTTAATCATTAAAATTAATTAATATAAAAACATAAATTGTAATGATTAATTCTTCCCATTTTATTTAAAGATTCTTTATTGAATTTGTTTTTAAAATTTTTTTGTTATTATTCATTTTTTGTTATCTTCTATTTCTTTTCAAAATTTAGATGAGAAGAATAAAACATTTTTAAAAATGATTATAATTATTCATTTTTTTTTCAGATTTTGTTATAATCTAAACTATTTTTATCTAAAACAAATTAATTAAATTAATAATTATTTAGTTTATATTATTAATTTTATAAAATAAATAATAATGATATAATTTTAAAAACTTACTCAAATTGTTTAATTATTTAAAAAAATGTAATTTATTAATTTTTAATTTAAAGTTTGGTTTTTCTTCTGTTGTATTGTTAATTTTGGTTGATATTGTTATTTTCTCAATAAAACTTCTTTGGGTTTTTGTTAATTAGAATTTCCATTGTAACATTGAAGTATATTATATTTGTAAAATATCTTTAATTATATAACTTCCAAGGTTTTTTCGTTAGTTATTAATTTATACTATTTTACAAAAAGTAAACAAGTTTTTAAACATGCAATATTTTTTTGTTCAATATTGATTTTATTATTATTTTTTATTTATATTCATCACACTTTATCTTAAATGAAGAGATAAGTTCTGTATTAATGTAATAGGTAACTTAATATCTATAACAAGTCTCTACTTAACTTTTTTTTCAAAAAAATTTATTTATTGGATTTGTGTAATATATAGTTTCATTACAAAAGAGAATTATGATTATATCAAATTGTTAAAAGTTATTCAAAAATGAAATATTATTTCAGTTATTTTTTGAATATATTATAAACATGAAAACCAACATTTTACTTGTATTTTTTTACTTTAGAATATAGAATTTAATTGTTTTCACTCAGAGATTTAATAGTTGTTTTATGCTTCATGGAAAAAAGCCCGTTTGAATATATTCTTAATATAAGAAATTCCTATCATCATAAAACATAAACACATAACTAATCCTAAAAGAGAGCCAATAGAAATAAAGACAATGTCTCTGCTTGCCAAAGTATTCGCTTGACATCTACCATTTGATACATGATAATCAAGTTTACATTCAACACATCCATCAACATCACAATTTTTACAATTTTTATCACATAAAACACATTTTCCTTTACTAACATAATAGTTCTCAATACATAAAGAGCATGTTGTTAAATTACAACTATTCTCTGCACAAAATGGACATGGCGGGGCAATACACTTTCCATTTTTTTCAGTATACGTTGGCATACAAGTTCTACATCCATACCCATCTTCACATGTTGATGTACAGTGTGAATCACATTTTAAGCATTTATTTGATAGAAAATAATATTTATCTTCACACGAAACACAACCAATTTCATTTTCACATTTTTTACAACCTTTCTCACAATCTATACAAATACCATTTTTAATGTACTGAGTTTGATTACATTCTAAAGCAATGGCAATGTAAAAGATTTGAGTTATAACCAACAAAGACATTGTTTTAATCAAATAATAAGTTAAGTTCTATAAGAAAAGAAAAAAAATAACCAAATAAGTTAATAACCTTTTCTGAAAATAGAGTTGAAACATATTGAAATTATTATTAAATTCCATCGAATGAAAAAATCTTATTATTAGAAAAAATAATGAGTGAAAACTTCAAACACTCACCCTATTCTAAAAATCAATTCCCAAAATTATTTACTGTTTTATCAGATATTCATGGAACTCATAGACAATTTACATTACCAAAGACTAATTATTTATTGTTGTGTGGAGATTTTACAATTAGAGGATATGGCATAAAAGATTTTATTCAATGGATTGAAAATCAACAAATTGAAGTACTTATTTCTGTTCTTGGAAATCATGAAAGAAAACAACAAATTAAAGTGTTAGAAAAAGCTAAAGGTAAAATTAAAGAAGTACATGTTCTTGATGGGAATTATCTCCGTATTAATGAATTTCAATTTATTGGTTCTGGATATAAATTCCATATTCACCAAAAAGAAATTAATAAAGTTAATCCAAAACAGCCTTTAATTTGTCTCTCTCATGAACCCCCTTTTAATATGATGGATTATGGTATTAGAATGAGACAATTAATAAACGGAGAATTTTTTCATGCTGGATCAAAAGTAGTTCAACAATTTATTCAAAACATCAACCAGATCTTCACTGTTTTGGACATTGTCATTCATCTCATGGAATATGTAAAGTTGGAA